CCCATTTTACGGTTTAGGAAGCTGAGCTTCAGCTGAAGCAACTCGGCCTAGGCCACCAAACAGTTAAGTAGTTGACCTGCATGTGGACTTGGTGCAAGTCTGTGTAACCTCCAAGGCCATGAGCTGACTGCTGTGTCCATGGGATCCCTTTATGATATGGGTCCGCAGAATTGGTGGTTCAATGAGAAGTGCAGGCCCGGGGCCCAGCAGGAAGCCTTAGGTCTGCTGTAAAGAGTGTCACATCTGCGGATACGAGGGGGCAGGTTGGATGGTTTTTCTTGGGCTTTTGTATATTCATTCCCTACTCTTCCTGTTGCCGGTTTCTCTAAGGTCCCTGAGAGCAGTACCTACTTTGCAAACAGGGCCTGTCCCACTTATCTTCTAGGGCATGGGAAGCTTTTGCTTCCTCGTTGCCCCTCCCACAACTGACCCCCAAGTTGTTCCCCAAGGTCATTTGCACTATAAGCGTCGAGGAGCCTGTGTGTGTGGTAGGGATGGCTGTGGGGCATCTAGCACCTCGGTGAGGCCCCTCGCCTAGCCAGAGAGGCAATAAGCTTGGATAAATTCCGTTCCGGTTTCTGACGTTGGTTCATCTTTTGTAAGAGGAATTTCATACCTTGGGGATGCTTTGTACATATTTGTAACGACTTTATTAAAAATTGGTTGTGCACTTCTAGCCGACAGTCTTTGTGTTTTTCTTTCCTTTTGGAAGATTGATCCCCAAAGATGTGGAAGCATCAGGCACCATAAGAGGGAGAGAATCCTGGCCCCTGTATCGTGTACACCCCATCTTCCTGGGGACAGAAGGTCACACACCCACCTCCTTCCTCTGCCCTGTTCCTGAGAACCCTCCAAGGAGAGGGTTACTTACCTAGTACCTTTAGGTTGGGCAGAGGGGCTGGGGAAACTACCTAGTAGGTCAAGGCCATTACACAAAACCATACTTAAAGGTGACATCATATCACATGATACGTTTATATGAATGTTGTGGTTGTTATGTGCCCTCAAGTCAGTCTGACTCATAGCAACCCCTCCTTGGGTTTCCGAGGCGATATCACTACGGAAGTAGATTGCCCAACCTTCCTTCCGACGAGTGGCTGGTGGGTTTGAACCACCAGCCTTCTGGTTAGCAGTCAAGTGCCTTAGGCACTATGCTACCAGAGCTCCTTTATATGAATAGATCATGTGATGTGTTCATGAGCCTGCAGATGGATTCTCCAGCACTGGACAAACAGGCCACTCTGGTTGGGTACACCTGCATTTACCTGAACTGCCATGTACCAAGAGATCAGGTTCTGGTATCTTCCAAAGAATGGTGGGTGGAGGACAGGTTGCTTTTCAAGATCCTTGACCCCCTCTTTCCCTTTGGGAACCGTTTCTCACTCTCAGTCCATGTGGTTTACAAGGGCTGATTCCATCCTTCCCACCCTCTTCTGTCCTCATCTCCAGGCTCCACACCTGACCCAGGCCTGTCCTAAGCTCCATATCCCACAGATTACAGTCGTTCTGGGGACAAACAAATGAGTTAGGCTCAGGACCCTTGCTAGAGCTCCAGGGAAGCTGAAACTTTCTTCACTGGGGGTGTGAAGCTGGTAGAATATGAGCAGAGAGCTGCTGGAGGCCATCTTACATGGGATGTAACTGCCTGAAAATAAACCATCGCAGAGGAAAACAGCGTCAAGGGATGGAGAGAATGCTTCTAATGTCATCACTGGAGCCCCTGGATCTGGCTGTGTCTGAAGTCCATCCATTGTATGAGCCAGAGAAAATTCTTTTAAGCCAGTTTGAGTTGATGTTAACACCCACAACCAAAAGGTTCTGGCTGATGATATTTTCATGACTGGCCTCAAATGTTACCCTGAGAACCGTGAGTTACCACCTCATGCTATTTACATGCAATTGTCCATCATAATCTGGCACCATTTCTTGAACCAGTCTCTATAGTCTGGGTCCAGACAACCTATAGCTGACCACTTAGTGGGCACTGTGGGTGCCCCACCAACACCCCTTCTGACCCCTTTCACCAGTTCTGGGGAGAGTCTGAAGTGCCTGCAAGGTCCCATCAACTCACAGCCAGGGACTGACTGGCTCTCCTTGGTGTGGGACAAAGTGAGGTCCAATTTCTGCTCCAGAGCTCCCCAGGGGCTCAAGCTGAGGCTGGGACTTAGGCTGAAGTCATGCTCTTGACTGGCTTCTTCCCTTTCTCTGTCGTGTTGCGCTCACTCCTTTACGGGTGGCTTCCTGGGCTGGCAGCTCTTCCTTCGTATATCAGTGGGGTCTGCTTTGAGGATAACCGCCCACCAAACATGCTTCTCATCTGCCCTAAAACAGTTCCACATGGCACCAAGAGGGGAAAGAAGGATCAAGATGACAAACATAGGCTCACCGAAGGGTGATATTTATCAGCAGATGGGAACTTAAAGGAGACATTAAAAACACCACAGGCAGCTCGAAAGTACTAGAAGATTCCAGAATCACTTTGTACCGCCTCTTTACAATCTTAGCAGTCTGAATGTCTCCCACGTTCTTCTCTTTCAAAAGTGGTGCATCTGTGACACCCAGGATCAAATCTTGCCTTTGTATTCCACCACTTTTATTATTCTCCAGGTCTCATATTCATGGAAATTGAGTCAGTGAATCATACAATATTAAGAGTAGGAGATTCTGAACTTGACCCTTGATTAATCCTTGTTACAAATGAGTTGCAGAGATGGGCAAAGGAGAGTGGCCTTGTTCCTGTTCACGATGGAGACTCCTGGCTGCTGCTGAACTTGGGTTGGGAATCCAGGCAGCCCCATTTCCTTCTTTGGTGATTGGCAAACTCTGCATTCTCCACTTTTCCCTCCTTGGGCAGAAGTTAAATCCTCCTACCTACAAGGAAACCTCCAGGCGGGGCTTCCCACAGAGGGTTGGTGATGAATAAATAAAATCCTAAACTGAACATCCCACCCACCCCGAGGATCCCCACATGTGATGCTCTTTACAGTGTCAGAGAAATGGCTCGGTGTTTGCAGAACGTTGGAGGAAACCGTTGGTGTATTTACTAGTAAGCTACATGGTTAGCTTCCTTGGTTCCAGCAGATAATATACTAGATTTTGTCACCACAGAGATGGCTGCGGGGAGGTGAAGTGCCTTCCCAAAGTCCTGCAGAGTTTGGACTCAGACCCAGGCCTGTGCTGCTTTATCTGCCCCATTCCATGCGGCCCTTTATGAGTCTTCTCCAGCTGCAATTTATCATACCTCCTTGGTGGCAACTGCAGGCAGGGAGGTCTTTCTGATAAAAACCAGTTACAGAAGCTCCTGTTGCTTCCTTTCAGTGACTCCTCAAAGCGGAGAGAACAGAGCAGCCGCATCCATCCGGCCCCATTCCCCTTGGCTTCCCCTTCCTACTTGATTATCTGGGCAAGTGGGATTATAACATCATGGCCATTTCCATAGTAACAGAGCCTGAAAGATGCCACACTGCCCTGGAAGTGATGACTTGCTGGGTACCGGGAAAGAGCCAGGCTTGTCAAGCAAAGGAAAAAGCCCTGGCTATGTGGCACCCAGGGGCAGGTGCCCTGAATCTATCAGGATAGGAGGCATTTACTATTGGCTCAGAGGGAGGGGCAGCCAGGCACCCCCCATTTCTCCCGAGGCATGCCTCTAATCTGCTTACTGGCCTCACAGATTGCTTTCTTGGTAATGCCACCAACACCTCCCCTTGTGCTGAGGCAGACAATGAGCGAACGGAATTAGGAGAGGGGCAAGGTAGGCGAGATGCCAGTGCCTTCTATGTGGTCGCCTGTTCCATCGCATCACACGGAGTGTGTCGTGGGGGGCAGTTCTATTACAGACATTTCAGAAACACAGATTGCTCCTGTGCTCTTTGCCAGGGTGGACAAATACATAGCAGGGAGCATCCCCTCTGCTCTGAAGGCTACCAGGGGAGGAGACAATGTCCACAGGTGATGCTGACAGGTCTGAGTCTTAAGTGATGGAGAGGACAAGAATAGAAGGAGAAGAGAAATAAAGATGGGAGTAGGGACCGAGTGGTACCTGCATCTGGGCCAAAGCTTGTCTTTCTTGATACTCACATGTGGCCAGAGTGGCCAGAGCCCAGAAAGCAGTTTGAAAGACCCAGGCTTTCTGTGGATGCAACCACAGCTAGATTTTAGGAGCTAATGGTCACTGTTAGCATTCTCCATGCAGTCCAACTCTAACATGCTACACGCTTGGACCACCGAGCCTTAACCAGAGATGGGCATCAAAACCACCTGCTGTGTTTATAAAACCATCTCCACTGGGCCCTGCACCTGAAGTGTCTGAGCAGATGGTCAGCATGGTGGGTCAGAGGGTAGGCTCTGTGGCCAGAGGGGCGTGTGTTGGAAACTCGGAGCACCACTGCTAGCTGGGTGTCCTTGGGGAAGTCACCATACCCAAGCTCTGTGCCTCAGTTTCCTCATTTATAAAATGGGGGGACAAAAGTACCTCCATCATAGGGCTGTGGTGAGGATTACATATGGAAACCCAAGCAGGATGCTGGGTATTGTGCTTGGCACACGCTAAGTCGTTGGTACACTGAATCTTTATAGGTATAAGGTGGGGCTCAGCATTTGTATACTGAAGGTGCTTCACAGTGATTCTAACCCACAGATCTTGGTCATTTGAGGGGGAGGCAAGGATCTTTAGGCCCCTCCTCAGTTTGCAGTATCAGGTACTAGGTCACCACGAGTAAAAATCACCAAGAGGTGGGACTTCATGTATTAACATTTCCTTTCCAACTGACTTCTAGGGGGGCTGGGGGACCTACCTGAGTAAAGACCACTCAGAGTTAGAGTGCTTCCTCCTTTATAGGGAAAGATGCACTGCTCACACTGCGCCCCAGAATAAGAGGAAAGTGATGGGATCAGAGGTGGCAGACAGAGGCAGGCTGAGGGAGTAATGGAGGCCTGTCTTGACACTGAACTCCTGCCATCCCCTAGTTGTGCCCGGGAGCTTCGACTCCCAGCCTCTGGCCCTAGTACACCTGGAAGTGTGCAGATGTGGCCCCATCCTTCCAGCAGCGCAGGGTGTCCACAGCGACGGAGCGGCAGAGTGGGCAGGTGCGCTCGCGGTCCAGCCACAGGCACAGGCACTCCTCGCAGAACACGTGCTGTGGGGACAGCGATCAGTGTGACTGGTGACTCGTGACTGAGCATGGACTGCGTGCCTGCCAGTTGACATGGGACACAGGAGCTGGGGACACAGCAGCGAGCAAAACAGATAAGCCCTGTTCTCATGAGGCTTGTGTTCTTGTGGGGGAGATGATGGATCAAGTCAATCACTAAAATATAGAGTATGTTCATGAAAAAGCAGCGAAGAGGTGGGCAGAGAGTGCTTGGGAGGGTTAACAGGGCGGCCTGGGAAGGCCTCACTGAGATGAGTGACATTTGGGTAAAACTTAAAAAAGGGTGAAGATCTGGAACTGAACTCACTCCTGTGGCTTCCAGCCAAACAACAGACAGGCACATGGGGTGATACACTCCTTGGAGAGATCAATCATGGGAGAAAAGAAGGGCAGTATTTGCACAGGGAGACAGCTCGAGGGGCTGGAGTGCATGGGAGGGAAAGACACAGGGAAGAGGTAACAATGGGGAGGAAGTGGGAAGAGAGCTGTTATACTGTGGGGAATTGTAGTCAGTGTCTTGAAACAAAATGTGTATGAACTGCTGTACGGAAAATGAATTTGCTCTGTCAACTTTCACCCAAATCACAATAAAAATTAAGAAAAAAAAACAACCAAAAAATGGGGTAAAGAGTTAAGAGACCTCAATGATATCTGGAGAAAAAGCATTTCTGTTGGTGTAGTGGTTAAAACATTGGGCTGCTAACCAGAAGGTTAGCTGTTCAAATTTGTCAGCTGCTCCATGGGAGAAAGACAAGGCAGTCTGCTTCTATAAAAATTTACAGCCTTGGAAACCCTATGGCCAGTTCTACTCTGTCTTACAGGGGTCACTATAAGGTGGAATCAATTTGATGGCAGTAAGGTTTTTTTTGGTGGTGGTGGTGGGAACAGCATGTGCAAAGGCCCTGGGTCAGGAGTATGCTGGTAGCTGGAGGACCTGTAAGAAGAAGAGTATGGCTGAGTTGGGGGAGGGAGAAGAGGGGAGATGAGGTCAGGGAGGTACTGGGGAGCAGACAGTGTAGTACATTGTAGGCCATGGTGAGGACTTTGGCTTTTATTCTGAGAGAAGTAAGGAGCCATGGCAGGCCTTTGAGCAAAGGAGTATTTGATCTGATCAGTGTTTTCAACGGGTTCCTTTGGCTGCTGGGTTGATCACATAGAAAGCAGGGGGCCCAGAAAGACTAACGGTGATGAAGGCCAGCAGGCTCTACCACTTTCTGGCTCTATGTCTTAGGCAAGTGACTTAAAACTCCTTGAACCCCAGTTTCCTCATCTGTAAAATGGGGTTAATAATAGTAACTGCTCACAGAAGGATTAGCTAACATGAAAAGCACTTTGACATGATAACCTTGCATAGTTCATTTCTGACTGGATTCTGAATCAGGGGTGGGGAGGCAGTGATCTAGCTATAAAGGACATCTTAAAAACAACTGGGGAAATTTGAATATATACTGTATATTAAGTACTACTATATCAGTTTTCCTGGCCATGAAAGTAGAATTATGGCTATGAGGGAGAATACCCTTCTGGGAGATGCATACTAAGTATCTAGGGGTGCAGAATCAGTATTTCTATAACTTACTTTCATCTCATTTAGGGAAAAAATTATATCAAGAAAAGGCAAATGTGGTCAAATGTATGATTAGCAAATTGAGGTAAGGGATAGAAGGATGTTCATAGTATATACCCTTCAACTTTTCTGTAGATTTGGAATTTTTCAAAATAAAATGTTTAAGTAAAATTATAATTAAAAATCTAAGCAAAATAAAGTAAAAAAAAAAGACACTTAGAACAATGCCTGGTAAACAGTAAGTGCTCTACAAATACAGGTTTTATAATAATAATAATTATCCTCTTTCATTTACTATGTGTCTCTATAGGCCAGAATGGGGCTCCTTGTAAACCCCTTCCCAGTGTAGCACTCGGGAGGCTCTGGTGGGGCAGTGGTTAAAGGATTCAGCTGCTAAGCAAAAGGTCAGTGGTTTGAACCCACAACTGCTCTGTGGGAGAAAGATGAAGCAGTCTGCTTCATCTTCATATTTACAGCCTTGGAAACGTGATGGGGGCTGTTCTACTCTGTCCTGTAGAATCATTATGCATCAGAATCGACTCGATGGCAGTGGGAGTGGGTTTTAGTACGACACTCAGTAGGTACCCGATTGTAGATAGTGCCGGAGAGCTCCATGGTGCTATAGGGGTGTGTAATGGGGCAGGGCAGGTGTCACGGACGAGGGGGCACAAGTTGAAGTCTGAAGGTTGTGTAGGAGTTACATGGGCTAAGATGAGGGGTGGGGAGAGAGCATTACAGGGCGAGAAACAGCTTATGTGAAATTCCTGAATCCTGCCAGCATCTACGTGACTTGAGATTGGAAGCAGATCCTTCCCCGGTCGAGCTTTCAGATGAGACCTCAGTTGTGCCCAACATCTTGATTGCATGCAGCCTGTGCAAGACCCTAGAAGCAGAGGACACAGCTAAGCCATGCCTTGATTTCTGACCCACTGAAGCTGTGAGATTCTAAATGTGTGTTGCTTTAAGCCAATAAGTTTTGGGCCAAATTGTTTTGCAACAACAGATAACTGAGACAAGATGTGGATGAAAGCAGGGACGCTTGTCCATCTGACCTAAAAGACCATGACTATGAACCGTGGTCATACATGGAGAACATGAGAAGGGGTGTCTGAAGCACTATGAAGACTGTGAAACATGACATTATTGAAAATGTGGCTACTGCGTGTGGTTATGATGCTGAGCAGGTGAGGAAGAAGGCTTGGTGATCTTTTTTCCAAAAATCAATGTAAACCTTACGGAGTATACTGGACTGATCCACAGATGATCATGGGGATGGGGCAGGGCCAGGCAGTATTTCATTCCGTTATGCATGGGGTCACCATGAGTTGGGGCTGACTTGAGGGCAGCTAACAACAATAATAACCAATAGGAGAAACACACACACACAGCCATAACCATAGAGCTTTAGTTACACAAGCCAGGCCGGTCACGTCTAGACTTTGAAATAAACACTAATACTGAATGCTAAACACTAATACTGAATGCTGGCATAGCACGCTATGTTTTTCAAATCTCACACATAGCTAGGTACATCATCTCATTTGAATATGAACCTGCAAGCTTCCCAGGAAAGTGTTTTCACTCTTGAGTGACAGAAGATATGGAGGGTCCCGGAGGGAAACATGCCACTCAGGATTAGGGATTAGTGCTTGGGGTGCTGCGGGTGGGACCAAGGAAAGAGGGCAAGAGGACAGGCACTGTAGGTGTTCAGTCCACAGCTGGTGCAGGCACACGTGGGTGGATGGAGGAGCTGAAAGCAGGTATGAGGAGCTCCAATCCCTGCTCGGCCGTTGCTTCCTTCCTGGGAGGCAGTGTGCAGAGGCTCAGGTGGACAGGGCACAGGACACTCTCAGAATGTCTCAAAGCAAGAGGTGAAGCCTACTGGAAGACACAACCTCTGCATCTGGGTATGAATCCTGACTATGCTACTTAGGAGCAGTGGGACCTTGGGCAAGTCTCTTCACCTTTCTGAGCCCAAGTTTCCTTCTCTGTAAAAGAGGGCCAATATTTCCTTCATGAGACGACTGTGAGGATGGAAACAGATGATGCCTAGCAAAGCGTCAAGTGTGGGCACAATGAATGCAAAATCAGTGGGAGGTGCCGTTCTCTCGCTGTTTCCTTTATGGCATAAGGCATGCAAAAACAAACAAATTCACAGTACCAAGAACCATGTGGTCTCTAAAAGCACTCTTACTCTTGTCTTTAGCAAAGGAGTCCTTCAAATGAACCAGGTTTCTGACTTCATGTTCCAAATGCCTTTTCCCTTGGGCCCTACAGCTGGGGCAGGAGACATGCCATAAATACTTGGGGAGTGATAAATGGACATGTGCTCTGCTTGAGCCAAGAGTTCCACTCTCTGAGCATACTCAGTGTCTGCCTGGCTGGCTTCAACAGACTACCTGCTTCCCATGCCTGGCTCTGGCAGGTGAGAGGTAGGAGTTAAATACTGAGCTTAATTTGATAAACCTTTGAAAGGGAGACAAGATATTCCATTGGCCTAGTGGGTTCTCCATCTCTCTAATCTCTATCCATCTATCCATCCACTCATCCATTCATCTATCCATGATCCAACTATGCAGCCATCTACCCATGTATCCACCCATCCATCTCCATCCATTTGCCATCTTCCTAGTTACTTACTGACTTCTACCTCCACCCATCTGCCCTTGCACTTATGCATTAACTCCTCACTTTGTTATCATCCAGATCCACCCATCCATCCATCCACCCACCCATCCATCCACCCATCCATCCATCCATCCATCCATCCATTCTACCCTATCTGTCTAATGTTTACTGAGCTATACTTCAGCTCTGCTGCTAAACAAGGCAGGAATGGTTCCCACTCTCAAGTTATTGATAATTTGGCATAGGGGAAACCTGACACAAACACTTACACAATTAACCATCTAGCTGACAACTGGGATAAATGCCATGAAGGAAAAGAACAGAGATCTAGGAAACAATACAGCTGGGGGCACTGGCTAGTCTGAAGAGGCAGTGTCAGAAAAGGCTTCTTTGAGGAAGTAACGTTTAAGCTGAGGTATTTATTCATTTGTTCATTCATTCATTCAATGCATTTAGGAATTAATTAGGCTGTTCACCTGTGACGTCCTCTCTGCCATCCCAAGTCCAGGTCACAGCTCCTTTCCTCCCTGTGACAGATCAAGTGTGGGATGTGTGGTTGGCCTGGGCATGTTTGTGGTTCTCAGTCACCACTGGGCATGGTCACTGCTCCCAGATCTAAGGACTCTGTAAGGTCTGTGAAGATGCAGTGGTGCCATGAAAAGAATGGAAGAGAGACAGACTGAAGCTTGGAGAGACTGCCAGAAAGGAAACAAAAGAAAGACTCTGACCTTGGCATCACGTTCAAATAATCGTGCCACTGAAAAGGAAGTGCAGATGCTTGGAAGCCGTGAAAAGATGCCCCACCTCACTCATGATCAGGGAGATGCAAATTAAAGCCTCCCAGAGTGGTGTTTTTCACCTGTCAGACAGGCAGAGCTCAAAAAAGCCTTGAGAAGGCAGTGTTGGGAAGGGCGGGGGAGCAAGAGGCCTTGTCACACTGCTCGGGGAGTGTAAACTGATACACTTTTTATGCAGGGCAATTTAGCAATATCTGTCAAAACTACACTCCCTCTGATCTAGCAATTCCACTTCAAGGCATTTATCCTACCAAGAGCTTGCACACGTGTGAAATGTACTGCATGACCAAAAAAACCCAAACACGTTGTTGCAGAGTCGACTCCGATTCATAGTGACCCTATAGGACAGAGTAGAACTGCCCCATAGGGTTTCCTAGGCTGTAAAGCTTTATAGAAACAGACTACCTCAGCTTTCTCCCAAGGAGTAGCTGGTAGTTAGAATCGCTGACCTCTTGGTCAGCAGCCAAGCACTTAACCACTGTGCTACCAGGGCTGCTTGCGTGACAATAAGAGCTAATATTTATTGACCCTGATCATGGGCCAGGTGAGCTTCTAATTGCTGTATTTGAACTAACTCTTTTAATCAAGACAATGGCCCAGGTAGCTGCGCTTCATCTCCCCATCACACAGATTATGCACTGCAGCCTCATTTGTAATGGTAACAGAAGACCCTAAAATAATAGTAAATGCCCATCAGAAGGACTATGCCTAAACAAACTGTGGCCTATTCATTAAATGCAATGGTACGCAGCCATAAAACAGAATAGGGAGCAACCTCTAAAGAGTTTCATGTGAAAAAGCAAGGTGCCAAAAGAGGCTTGCATAAAATATGCTACGGCTTTTCTTTTAAAAGATATGTTCATATCTATACATCTTTATATTCTATAAAACACCTCCAGAAAGATACAAAGGAAATTGGTAAAGGCACTTGACTGCTCACCAGAAGGCTGGTGGTTCAAACCCACCAGCCACTCCTCGGAAGGAAGGTTGGGCAATCTACTTCCGTAGAGATACTGCCTCGGAAACCCAAGGAGGGGTCGCTATGAGTCGGGGCCGACTCGACAACACGTGACAACAACACAAGAACAACTGTGGGTGACTAAAGGACGGGGAGCAGGGCACAAGGGTGGGGGGCTTGTCACCACTCTCCTTTTTGTATCTTTAAACATTTTTTCTTAATAACTCTTTATCACTCCCTCTCCCCAGCGTCTGGAAACCACTAATCTACTTTTGTCTCGATGTATTGGCCTGTTGTAGATATTTCATACAAGTGGGATCATATAATATTTGTCCTTTTCTGTCTGGTGTACTTCACCCAGCATAATGCTTTCAAGGTTAACCCATGTCATAGCATGAATTAGAATGTCATTTCTCTTTATGGCTAAATAAATACTTCATTGTACATGTCCACCACATGCTGTTCATCCCTTCATCAGCTGATGGACACTTGGGTTGTTTCCGCCTTTTGGCTGTTGTAAACATTCTTTTAAATAAACTTTTTATTTGGGAAGAATTTTAGACTCGGGGAAAACTTTCAAAGAGAACAGAGAGAATCTCCAGGTGCCCCTCCCCCACTTTCAGCCATCCCTAATGTTGTTATGTCACGTGACTGTGGTACAACCACCACAATTAAGAAACCCACTTTGGTACCTTACTACTAACTAACCTCCTGACTTTATTGGGTTTCATTCATTTTTTCCGCAAATGTCTTTTTCTGTACCAGGATCCAATCCAGGTCCCACATCGCACTGAGTGGTCATATCTCCTTAGTCTTTTAAACTTTTGAACCATGATAAGATATAATCTTATCATGATCTAATTTAAAAATAAATAAAATTAAAAGTTCAAGCCAACCAATTGTCATGGAAATGACTCCAAGTCATAGTGACCCCACGGTGTGTCCCAGCAGAACGGTGCTCCTATAGGGTTTTCAATTGTTGTTTATTGGAAAGAAGATTTTCTCTTTGGTATGTATTTCTTTTTATTAAATGGTCTCAGATTAAGCTGGAAGAGGAATAAGAGGAAATACAACTCAACTACTGAAATATAAATGGTTGAGCTTAATTTATTCAACAAAATGTTTGGACACTTAGCGGATCAAGCACCAAGCTGGGCTTTGGGTGCGCCATGAGAAACTGGACTCTGCCCTCATGGGACTTACAGCCTAAGGCAGAGAGCAGACAATTTCATGTCCAGTAAGTGCTAACAATGAACTCTGGGAAGCAGATTGCCAGGCCTTTCTTCCATGACACCTCTGAGTGGACTTGAACCCCCAACCTTTCAGTTAGCAGCAGATTGTATTAACTGTCTACACCACCCAAAAACTATTTTCTTAAATTAAAAATAATCCCCTAAAGTGGGAAGCTCTGGTAGCATAGTGGCTAAGACACTTGCCTGCTAACCAGACGGCTGGCGGTTCAAACCCACCAGCCACTCCTCGGAAGGAAGGTTGGGCAATCCTACTTCCGTAGTGATACTGCCTCGGAAACCCAAGGAGGGGTCGCTATGAGTCGGGGCCGACTTGATGGCACATAACAACAACAACAAAGTGGGAAGAGAGCTGTCTGTTACATTGTGGGGATTTCAACTAATGTCATGAAACAAAATGTATATCAACTATTGAATAGAAAACAGATTGGCTCTGTAAACTTTCACAGAATCACAATAAAAAGTTTAGAAATCCCCTCAAACTCAAAAACAGCAGTATCAAAATGTTTTTTCTAATGAACACAAAGGGTCCTTCAGAAGCTAGATGTGTATGTGTGTGGGGGGTGCCCTCCCATTCCTGCAGATCTCCGGGATTATCCCTGCCCCTAAAAGCCTCCCAGCCTGGAATTCCTGGCTCTCTACCCCGGTCCCTAGGGACATGGCATGAATCTCTCTTACACAGCACTTATCACCGCCTGCCTTGTTTCATAGTTATTTATGTATGCGTCTCTGTCCCCAAAAGAGGCCACGAGCTTGGAAAGCAGGGGGCAGTGTCTGTGTGCCCTCTGTCCCCTTCCCTGATGTTGGCTATGATGCTTTGACTCAATACGCATTTGCTGACTTGACATCTTAGCCCCTGATGTTCGGAGGAGGAGGGATACATCTGAAAAGTTAAAAGCAACTGACCAGCACTTATCACCATGTGACAGGGACCCACAACTAATAATGAAAACAAGTGATAGTAGTTATTGTAATGATATTAACGGCAGCTTCTATGGCTGAATAATTCAAATGTAGCTCTTTGCATAGATAATCTGATGTAATTGTAACACTAGCTCTATGAAGTAGGCAGTACTGTCACACCCAAGGCTTAGGGAGATGGAGTGACCCACCTGGCATCGAGCATGCCACAAGGATTCAAACTCAGGATATTGTGACCCCATGCCAGGCTGAATGTGGCATTTACCACGAGGAAACAGAGGCTTGGGGAAGTGTTCATCATTTCACTAGAGGAATATCTGCTGAAGAGCATGGACTTTGGGACTCAGACTGAGCTGAGTGTGAATCCTGTCCTGTTGCATGTCCTTGGGCCTCAGTTTCCTCATCTATAAAATGGGCTACCCTAGGCCACCCTGCTATGAGGCGGAGCTGAGATCTGAACCCAGGTCTGACTGACTCCAGTCTTGATCAGACCAAATCACCCTCAAAGACTCATCCAAGAGCCCAGTGTTTGTTCACGGGACAGACACTTCCAGCTTTGCTGTGAGGCCCTGCTCTTGGCCTCAAGTGTCCCGGGGCCCTGCCCGAACCCCACTCACCTGGCACATGAGGATCAGAGGCTCTCGGAACTCGGCCTGGCAGATGGCACAGATGTCGCCGGCTTCTGTGCACTGTTGGCCAGTGGCCCGGACTCCGTAATTCTGTGTGAGGGAGGGCAGAGACGAACGAGCACAGACCCTCAGTGGAGGGAGAATGTCAAGAAGCACTGTGAGCTCCGTGGGGTAAGAAAGGGGTCTCTTGAGTTCCCATGACCTCCGTCGGAACCCTCTGAGGCCAACTCACCTGAGAGGTACAGAGAAGCTTCAGGGCTTTCCTAACACCACCCACGCGGCCACAGATGTCAAATGACTGCAAAGAGAACAGGATGACGGTTGGAAAGCATCCAACAGTCGGCCAGGTTCTCTCCCCACACTGTTGAACATCCGCCCTGTTATGGACAGCACTGAGTCCCACAAAAGGATGGCCGAAGTCCTGACCTGTGTGCCTGTGAATGTAACCTTGTCTGTAAGTGGGGTCTTTTGAGATGTTATCAGCTAGGTTACTAAGAGGTCAGATGGAGTTAAGTGGGTCCTCATTCCATCCGAATGGTGTCTTATAAAAGAGAAGGAAAGACACAGGGAGGATGCCACGGGAAGACGCATGTGCAAGCCAAGGAGCATGGAAGATTGCTGGGAGCCTGCATGAGGCAGGAGAGAGGCAAAGAGACCGTCACTCGGAACCTCAGAAGGAATCAGCATAACCAACAGCCTGATTTGGACTCCCAGCCTCCAAAACTGAGACAACAAATTTCTGTTCCTGAAAGCCACCCATTTTGTGCTGTTTTGTTCTGGGAGCCCTGGGGAATTAAGACCCTCCAAGTCCTTGACTCAGGAATTTCCCAGAATGCCTCATTCCCATCAGGTTTGCCTGCCTTCGTCTGGCTACCTTCCACCAGCAGTCTCCATTTCCACCTAGGCCACCAGGATAACAAATCCAAGCCGGCATCCTGCCTCCTCCCCTCCCCAGGGCTGCCATTGCTCACTGATCACCACCGTCTTCCTCTGAGCCCATCCGGCCTGTCCAGACCTGGTTCTCCCTCTCCACCCAGCACTCCACTCAGCCACCGCCAGTCAATCAGCCTCGGCAGGGAGGATAAGCTCCAATGGCTGACACTGCCTGGCTGGGAGGGAGGCAGGAAAGCAAACACATCTCCCCCAGAATTCCCTGTAGCCAGAAACAGAGGAGGGGGAAGAAAGAGGAAGCTGTGCTTATTGTAAGGGGGAATAAATGAATTTGTACTAGTGACTAATGAGAAGAAACCCACTGCACATGGATTTGGGGCATTAAGGGTGAGCAATTGGAGAGGGACAGAAAACAAGCTTGGTGGTCCTGTCGTCTGTCAGTTAGAAGCTTCAGGTCTTTGGGGACAGCTCTGCCTGGGTTTCATGCTCTTCCTGTTATCTCTAGCTGAGTGACACCTTGGGCAAGTTACGTTATCTTCCTGGGCTTCGGTTTTCTCATCCATAAAACGGAAGCAATATTGGTATGCATCCCAAAGGGCTGTTGCCAAGTGGACTACATGATAGGTTAGCAAGTGATGAGCTTAATGGGCAAGAAGATAGGGTGGCTCTGCCATGGGGTCCCCCAGTGGCCCCTCCAGTCTCCAGGCCCCCTGACCTTGCACAGGCTGTAGAGAATGATCAGGACCCCTCCCAGAAAGTAGCTGTTGGAGGAGTCGTCTCCCATGATGTATTTGTACCACAGCTGGATGGGGACCAGAGATCGGAACAGCTGGCTCAGCTCCTCGATGACCAGATAGAACTTTCCCTGCAAGCACACCGAGAGCATCGATTAGTGTGAGCAGTAAAGACCCCGAGGACCGAGCCGGGGGCCCTGGCCCGAGCAGTAATGACACTCCAGGTCACAGGCAGGCCATCAATCAGCTTGGGAAAGCACTCAGAGCCGTGCCTAATGGGGCCGAGATATGGCCAGGGAGACACTGGCCCTGCCCACCGCCCTTGCCCTACTGCCCACCAGCCCTGAAGATCAAAGGAGCGAGGACTGCGTTTCAGGGAGGCAGAAACCCTACACCTTTGGCAAAGGGCTGGAGTGTGTGTGTGTGTGAGGGGGTCACTCCCTGGCTCCTGCTGCAGCCAAATGTGAGGGGCACTTCCTGCTGCCACACCCAAATCATGGCCTCCAGAGGGCTGACTTAAGCATGGCTGGTGGCCGCCTCCAGGCTCATGGGTAGGGGATGGGCCACAGGGTGCAGGTGAGGCCAGGCCATGAGGCCGAACGCTGGCGGAACATGGGTCCTCCTTCCTGGCTCCATCACTTAGTCCCTCCAAGAAGGCAAGAGGAATACCCGAGGCACGAGCATGGACTCTGGGACTTCGACTGAGCTGGGTTTTAACCTTTTTTGCCTCTGGATCATTTTGTGCTCACCTCCCCCTCACTGTATATTGCCTTCCCCTTCACCCAACACCCGTCTACCCTCTAGTTAGTGACTTCCCTTCCCATCCCCGGTAACCATCAAAGATGGCTTCTGTGAGCTCGGCTCAAATCCTGCCGAACTGCATGTTCTTCAGCTTCAGTTCCCTCGTTTACAAAATGGGAATCAGGACTGCTTCCTTACAGGGTTGTTTAGAAGATTAAATGAGATGGCACAGAGCTTGTTATTGTTGTTAGTGGCCATCGAGTCAAGGAGCTCTGGCATAGTGAGTAAAGCATTGGGCTGCTAACCAAAAGGTTGGCAGTTCAAACCCACCAGCCACTCTGCGTGAGAAAGATGAGGCAGTCTGCTTCCGCAGAGATTTACAGCCTTGGGAACCCCGTGGGGCAGCTCTACTTTGCCCTAAAGGGTGCTGAATCAACTCAGTGGCAGCAGGGGTGGGGACTGGACAGTGAGCCCTGACTCACGGTAACCCAATGCACAAGGGAACGAGATGCTGCTCGGTCCAGTGCCATCCTCATGACGGGCTGGGGACTGGACTGCTGTGGTCCATAGCCTCTCACTGGCTGATTTTGGGAAGCAGATTGCCAGGCCTTTCTTCCTGCTCTTCTGAGTCTGGACTCTGCTGAAACCTCTTTAGCATCATACAATACACAAGCCTCCACCACCCAATGCACGGTGGTGACTGTGCGTGAGGGGCACTGTGTGGGGGTCAAGCACAGGTTTATTGCATAGAAGGGTGAGCATTCTATTATTGAACCAACAATGCCTTTCTTGGTACACGGTGTTGGTGGTGGTGTCATTGAGTCAATTCCGACCCATGTAACAGAGTAGAACTGCCCTACAGGGTTTTCTGGACTTAATCTTTTTTTTTCCCTCAATTTTATTGTGGTGAAAACATACACAACAAGATATTCCCCTACATAACAACACAACAGCTTCTCCATTTACAGCTCAGGGACATTGCTGACATTTTTCATGATGTGCCACCATTATTGCTATCCTTTTCCAAAATACTCCACCACCATTAGCAAAAACTCAATGCCCCCCAAACAAAAGAGGCTATAATCTTATGGAAGCATTTCACCAGGTCTTTCTCCCACAGAGCCAATAGATGGGTTTGAACCACCAACCTTTTAGTTAGTAGCTGAGTGCTTAACCATCGCATCCCCAGGGCTCCTTCTTGGTACAGAACTGGTGACCAAATACATTCTACTTCCCTCCCTCCCTTTGCCCTTGGACGAGGCCCTCAAGCTTTCCGTGGCCTGGGCTATCACATGAAGGGGGATAGAAGCTGCCCTGTGGCTCTAACAAAATGAAACACAGATTCCTAGCTTACTGCCAGCAATTCCATCCCTAGGTATTTACCTGAGAGAAATAAACACATTATGTCCATTTGTATGCAAATGTTCACAGACGCTTTAGTCATCATACTTCAAAACTGGAAACAGCCCAAACGTCCATCAATGGAGGAGGAGATAAACAAATGGATGTATGTTTATACAATAAGATACTACTCAGCAGCAGAACTGATGTTGGCGAAGAATAATGAGTGTACCATGGGCTGTTGGAGGAATGAACAAATCCGTCTTGGAGGAAGTACAACTGGAATGCTCCTTAGAAATGAGAATGGCCAGACTTTGCTCTCTCGTGCTTTGGTCATGTTGTCAGAAGGGGCAAGGAGAAGGATATCAGGCTTGGTAGTGCAGAGGGTCAGCAAAAAAGGGGAAGACGTTCAATGAGATGGAAGGACACAGTGGCTGTGATGATAGGCTCACACACAGCAACAACTGGGGGACGGTGCAGTACTGGGCAGTGTTGCGTTCTGTTGTGCACAGGGACACTAGGAGTTGGAACTGACTCGACAGCACCTCACAACAACAGAAATGAAGAAACGGCTGACACATACCACAACATGAATGAATCTCACAGACACTGTGTCAAATCAAGGAGGACAGTGATAGGGTCTATACCATATAACTGGTTTATATAGCTTTCTAGACGAGGTTGCTAACACACAGGGACAGAAATCGAATCACGGGTGTCTGGGGTAAAAAGTAGGGGGAACAAACTGCCAGTAGGCATGAGGCAATTTTGGGAGGCGATGGAAATATTTTATATTTGAATTGAGATGGTGATTATGTGGGTGTGTACATTTGCTGAAACTCACAGAAATATATGCTTCACACATTTCTATGCATTCTACTGTATTTAAATTATATCTCAGTAAAGCAGATTAAAACAAACAAACAAATGAACATGGAAACAAGTAACCCTGTCCCAGGCATCCAGAACTTTAAAAATGCAAATCATCTTTGCTCCAGCGATTCTACTTCTAGGAATGTATCCTAACAGACTAATCAGAGGCATATGCAACAATGTGCCAACTGGAAACGATGTGCCAATTGGAAATGTCACTGCAACATTCTTTGTAACAGTAAAAAAGAAAAAAAGAAAAAGTAACAGATGAAATGTACTGAAGAGGGGCTGATTACGGTAGAACTCAGCAACAGAAAGCCCTGCAGCCACTTAAAAATTATGCTAGAGAAAGAGTAACTTCACAACGAGGAGACGGGGCATACACCATGGTAACTAGGCAGTTGAGATCATGAAAGACAAAGAAAAGACCAAGGAATTGTCAGACTGGAAAAGATTACAGAGATATGACAAGGAAAGGCAGTGTGGGACCCTGGATTCAATCCTGGACTAGAAAAAGGACATTAGTGGGACAACGGGAGAAATCTGAGTGAGGTCTGTAGTTCATAATAACAGTATCCACACTAAGTTCCTAGCTTTGCTCATTGTTCTGTGATTATGTAAGATGTTAACATGAGGGAAAACTGGGTGGAGAGGATATGGGAGCCCTCTGTACTATTTTTGCAACTATAAAGTCTAAAATCATTTTAAAATTAAAAATTTAAAAAAAAAATCATCTTGGTGAAGATATTTACCCAAGGAAATGTTGCATAAAAAGCCACTCATTTTGTGTTTTTCTGCTTTTTCCATTTTTTTGAACTAAGCATACACCCAATCCATTGCCATCAAGTTGAATCCAACTCAGAGCATCCCTGTAAGGCAGAGCCGAACTGCCCTGTAGGGTTCCTGCGCTTGTAAATCTTTGCAAAAGCAGACTGCCTCATCTTTCTTGCACAGAGTGGCTGACAGGTTTGAAACACTGACCTTTTGGTTAGCAGATGAGTGCTTTAACCATTGTGCCACAAGAGCTCCTTGTACCAATCATATGCATGATATATTTAAATTGGATTTAAAAAAACGTTATAAAAACATGTTGGAAATCCATCAAATGGATGCTAGGCAGTGTGACCTGATAGTTGCCCCCTTTTATTCCATTCTCGTGGGCAGGGGACCCCTTGAGCAGATGCTCCCACATCTGTCAAGGATCAAGGATGCTCACCTCACCGCCTGACCTTTGAGGCTGTTTGGCCCCTTTCGTATTGTGAGGTCACTAGTTCCCAAGGGACTCCTCACCCTCCTCTCCTGTTCTGACTCCCACAAACACTCCCTGAGGTAAATGCCAGCTTCCCTCTGGAGCCTGTGGGAAGACAGAGAACACGGGGGAGCAGAGATGTGGGGGTGGCCACCATGTTTGCTTTATATGCCCAATGGCATGATGGGACAGTGGACCAATGGAGCAACTGCTCAATGGATGGTTAGGGCTCCTCTACCCTATCCGTATCCTGACAGCAGGCCCTAGGCTCTGCAGAATACCCATGTTTTGGCCTTTGTTTTCCTGAACCACCAGACCTCAGCTGCCCCAGGCTTCCCTCATTTCTTTCAAACTGCTCAAACAAAGCATATTCCATCTCTTCTTAGGTCAACAGCTCAGTCTCTCACGCGTCAACTGGCTTTGATCACTCCCCCCGACTTCAGGACATTCCCAGAGAACTCTCCTTTCTTGTCTGCTTTCCTGCTTCCTGCCTCCACCCATCCATCTGCCCATTCTTCTTTCCTTCCTTGTTTTCTCCTTCTTTCCTTCCTTCCCACTTCTCTATCCATTCAAACTTCCTTCTTTCCCATTCATCCTCCTGCCCATCTATCTATCCTTCCACTTCCCTTTCTCCTTCCTCCCTGCCCTCCCATCCATCACCCATCCATCCACCCACCCATCCATCCACCCACCCACCTTCCCTTTCCTTCCTCCATCTCTCCTCTCTCTCTTTCACTACGTTCATCCCTTCCTCTTGTCTATCATTGAGTGCCCACTATGTAGAGACACACTGCTAGGCTGTGATATCAACATAACTACTATACTATATTGCAATTATTTTGTTTACCTGCTATCTTCCTCATTAGGTGTTGATCTCCTTGAGGGCATGGATGATGGATTAAACTCTCTGCTCCTGAGTTGGATCCA